CTAAAGAAGGACCCTCGGAACAAGGGACTTTCCTGAAATGCTTTTGGTTCTAGCTGAAGGACAGAGGTGTTTGTTTCGGTGATTTGCAGGCTCGTGGGTGAATTAGATGTCTGATACTTGACATTACATTTTCAACCTGGTGTCATTGAATCTTCTTTTTGAAATTTGTCAATGACCGTGGCTGTTTTTCCAGGTCGTATTTCTGTTTTTCGAGGCTCCTCTGCAAAGCTCATGCTGCCTTCCTTTAGGGACCTACAAATGAAAACAAAATATTTCAACCAGCCTTCTGCCATAATGGGTCATCGGCAGTAGAGTGATTATTGAACATTTAAAATGTTCAATAATCAGTGGTAGTGTTTTGTTGTGTTGTCAGTTGTGTCCATTCGTGGGGCTGTAGGGGGGCAGACTTTGCAGTAGATTTAATTGTGCGTTAAAACCCACAGCAGTTTCTCGCCCAATCAAAATACGAATCATTGTCTAAATGTGTCCTCGGGATACGTGATGCCTGATGTCTCCACTGTAAAGCCAGTGTGAGAATTCAAACTCCAACCACACACCCACTGGCATGTACTGTATACCGTTGACCTTTAAGTAACATTTAGCAGCCAGCGGCCGCTTGGCCGGCTGGCCTCTCCTTGTGAGACGGTGCCTTGACGCACAGGTAAATGTTGTGCGCCCGTCTGCACAACTGCAGCAGCTGAGGACACAGTTTGCCTCGTCTCTCAGGTGGGTTCCATGTTTAGAGAGTTCAAGGCCTGCCTGGGATCTTGATTAATGGCTGTCATGTCCGTTCCTTAAAAAAAAAAAAAAAAAAAAAAAACATGTTTGTTTTGGAGGAAACTGGAGACAGCTCACATAGCTGGCCCTGGTGTGTTCTCACGATACTGTGTGGAGACACTTGGCTTCTTGCTGGAGTCCAATACCTGCAGTGATATGAAAAGCAGTTCACCTAGTACATTACTATCGAGTGTCCAGTCTTGATTTTCCGCAAACATAATCGTATTTTGCTTGTGTTTTTGGCAATCAGCTAATACGAAATGTCTGTTGAGCTTTTTGATGCATTAGGCGAAGGGTCTCAGGGGAAGTTTATTGATTTTAGATGAGTCTCACTCATTGTGAGCACCACTCTTCACATTTCGTTTTATTCCCCTCTATTCTCTTTGTTAGAATTTGTAAATTAAACCACAGAAAATACATCTGTGAGAAATGTGAACCTTTCTATAGGTGAATATGTTTATATACCCTCACCTTAACAACACAACTGTATGTTATACCTTTAAATACATTTCTAAAGCACTCTCCTCTCTTTTATTTACCAATAAATTGTACCCTGCGTCAAGTGATTAGACGACCGATGGGCAGGGCAGCAGAGGCCATTCTTTTCTTCCAATACAGTAGTAAGATAAATACATGAGTTTATATTTTTACGTAGGGTCAGTATACACACTGTTTACATTCAGATCATTTTTTGATGATCACGAAACCAAAGCGAGCACAGGACAGGGAATAAACAGGCATAAACATTGTGACAATTTAATCCTAACATTAGAGTCGCCATTAACCACACAAACGCGACTACATTTTAAATGTCACCTGATTCACAATTCCTTGAATTAATTATATACAGCATGTCCTAATAAAGTAAATCAAATATAATTTTCATACAGTCATTACAGAATTTAAAAACACCATTAGCGTACATGTAATTTTAGCAAACCTGTGTATTATCCCGCCGTTAGAATTTACATAAACATTATACTAACAAAAACTAACATGCCTCACAGCATGTTAAGCCCTCAACAATGGAGAGCATTTGTACTCAAGTAAAGTTCAATGTTAAGTCCCTTTTATTAACAAGTCAACAAACTTCATTACTGGATTCAAATCAGCCCGTGGGTGCAATCAAACAAACATATTTTTTGTCAGGCAAAAAGATGGAAAATGTCCAGCAGTAATATGTTAATCTGCACTGAGGGACCTTTTAGCAGTTATGGTCAGTAACATGATGCATGTTGATGGGTAATTAACTTTTTGCAAACAGAGGATGTGCACTGTGTGCTGCTGCTAGCGTGAGATGAAACAGTGAAGGTGTTCACCTAAAAAGTGAGGTGATATTCAAAGTACTCTTGTTGCTGTGTGAGGGTTTAACAATGTCTTCTTTGAATTGTTGTGTTAGGTTTAGTCTCTATTTCTGAGAATGAGGAGTGCAGGAGACATATTTGCTGCAAAATGTATCCACTTATTCTAAACCATTTTTTAAAACCTTGGGGTCGGGACCAGACGTGGGGTCACCTGGAATTCAAATGGGGTCTCTTGAAATGTCTAGTAAATTATACAAAATTACTAGTAAAAACATTTCTTTCAACTTGTTTTTATTCTTTTTAAAATCAATCACCACAAACAATTTAAAAAAACTGTATTCTTTTACTTTTATGAATATAAACCAAGGTCAAATAAATTGCAGCATATAAAATATCTGAGCTGTCGCTGTTGCATTTGGTAATTGTTTATTGTGGTTATTGCAGCTGTCGCTGTTGCATTTGGTAATTGTATATGTTTATTGTGGTTATTGTATTAGTTAAGAGAGACAATAATGATACACAAAAGACATAACAAACTGAAGCTGAACCTGAAGCACTGTAATACTGATCTGTGAAAAAATTATCCCTGGGGTCATTAGAAATTTAGATGTCATAATGGGGCCACAAGCCAAAAAAGGTTGGGAACAATTGATTTAGAATATGGATTAACTTAAATATACACCAATTTCTTTATACTAAATGTATTAACGCCTAAAATATGCAGAAGCTAAGTAAACACAATATGTGTTATGAAAACATTCCACATTTTCATATTTTGTATAGTCCCTTTGCTCAAAAACAAGGAGGCATAATTCAAATTTTGTTGAAGTGATTGCTAATGTGTGAAGTGAAGAATGCAGACTTGCTGAGTGAAGTGCATGGATTTTACATCAAGGCGGGGAACTGTAGCAGAGAGATGACGTCCTACGATCACAGACTGCCGATGCTGTGAGAGCAGGTCATGCACGATAGAGACAATCACCAGTTCCTTCCAACCGTAGCGACACAGAGAAAAAGGTGAAGATGCAGAAAAAAAAAAAAAAAAACAAAAAAAAAATTTTAAATGAGGGGGCAACTACCGGGACCTTCCTATGTATTTCACAACATTCTGGCGC